ACCTATCCACATAGGCTTAATGATAAATGACCCAAGGATCATTGAAGGACTTGTTCCCTTATCGCAACCCAAGCCAGCCCCTAATCTAAGAAATGAACGACAAGCCTTAGGGTAACAAAATGGTGTAAGAGACTCAGGGAACTTTCAAGAGGCACATTCTGACAACCAGTATGTTGAGTCCAAGGAAAGGCCACATGTCCTTAACCGATCTTCCCTACTTTTAAGAAATGATGGAAACTTACAAAAAAAAAAAAAAAAAAAGCTTTAATGATGCCAGACTCTACTCAGGATCCCCTTATCCTTCAACTCTTTGAGGAAGTGAACAAGTTGAAGGCCAAGAATAAAGCCAGGATACTTGACTAGAATTAGCCAAGGCCAGACCCTTTGACAAGGAGAATCTTCTACACCCATCTACAAAGAGAAACGAAACAGAAGCTTGGCTTGCAATCATATATTGGGAGGGAAGATCTAATTGAACATATCCATCTCTTTGAATCCACCATGGCATACCGGAGACACAATGATGAGGAACAATGTCTTATTTTTCCTTCATCTCTCTCTAGTGGAGCTCTTAATTGGTATTGTCGTCTTTAACCTAATATGGTTGATTCCTTCGCCGAGCTAAAGAGACTCTTTGTTGCTCAACACATCTTCCAAGCTAATCACTTACACTCTGTTGATGAGTTATACACCATTCGTTAGAAATTAAACGAGTCATTGCATGAATATGCTGGTCCATTCAACCACAAATACTCTCGTTGTGCCAAGGTAGATGACAAAACAACACTCAGGGCTTTCACGGTATTCATGCATTTATGCTTCTTCAAGTACATGATCAATGCTAACATTTGGAAGACTTACTATGAGGTGATGATGCAAGCTTATAATCATGCCTCTGTCGAGGAAAGGACATACCAAAGGAATCCTTATATGGTAAACCCTTATCAACTAGTGGGGAGCGAATGTCAAGTTCTACCAAGTGAGAAGGTTTTGGCCATCCAAACATTCATTGCATCCCTTCCTACCCCCACTTAGCAACCTGCCAGGTGACCAAGCTTATTCGCCTTTTGGCAAGAGGAAAATTTTTTACTCAGCAAGCTTATTATAACAAGAGGAATAAAAGTTCGTATCAATACAATCAGGGGTGAGCATACCTTCAACTATTATGACCATGGGGTCAAGTATCGCTTTTTTAAAGTGGATGACTGAGTACTGAAGAAAAAGGCTATCATAGAAAGGCATACGCATTACAAATGTTTTGACTTTAAACTGTTTGGCATCCTTTGTAACACATGCCATTCGGCAAATATTTCATGAAAAGGCAATTCAGACAACTTCGTTTAAGTCTTTGTAGTCCTAATGCTAGAACACTTGGTCTACCTCTAACCTACCTATATACTCTAACTTAGAGCTTCAACATACATACTTCGACACCAAGTAAGTGAAACTAAGTGGTATAACCAACACGGTTCAAATATCCAAACAATGAATTCCTTCATGCATAACAAAACATTCATAAACAACATGCATGTGATGAACATCACTCATGTCATAAACATCACTCATGTCAATCAACATAAAGTTCATACTCTTCAAAACATTCATACATAAGCCAACTGAGCTACGAAAGGGTGTCAACATACATTTTTTCCTTTTGGTATGTGCTACAATGTGCCTCGACAACTCATCGTTCTTTCCACCAACCGGTGATGAAGACACTTATCTTTGTATCACCAATCAGGTGATGAAGAGTACAACTAGTTCTAAGAAATAATTTTGAGTTTCTTGTCACTCTTCTTACCAATCAGGTGATGAAGAAACTCACCTTCATATCAAACTAGGTGATGAAGAGCACAACTAATACTCTAATAAACAATTTTGAGTTTTGGCAACTTGCCACTTTTCTTATCAACCAGGTTATGAAGGAACTCACCTTTGTATCACCAACTAGGTGATGAAGAGCACAACTAGTACATTAATAAACAATATTGATATTCAGCAACTTGCCACTCTTCTTACCAACTAGGTAACGAATGAACTCACCTTCGTACCACCAACTAAGTGGTAGAAGATACAACTAGTACTTTAATAAACAATTTTTCCTCAGTAACTCATTACTCTTCTCACTAACTAGGTGATAAAAGAACTTACCTTATTTTCATCAACTAGGGAAGAACAGTACAACCTACACCTGTGGATTCTTAGCATTCATAAGCAGTTGAAAATTTTCAAGTAAAAACTTTTCAAGCCTTACAACTCGAAGAAGGCACATACAAACTCAACAAAGCCTTCCACACTCTTGTTCAAGAGTGTGGAAGCAAAATCTATTTATATGGTTCCTCTGAACTTTCAACTACTACAACATAGATTGCCTTCCACACTCTTACTCAAGAGTGTGGAAGCAAAATCGTATCATATGGTTCCTCCGAACTTTCAACTACTACAACATATAACTCAAGAGTGGAAGCAAGTGTAGATTGCAACTACTGCAACATGTAGATTGCAAGTGTGGAAGTAAAATTAATTTATGTGGTCTCTTTCACATTTTTAACTAGTTAAAAAAAATTCTGTAAAAAAAAAAAACTACCAAAAAAAAATATAATATGAAATTAATTAATTAATAATTATTTCGATAATTACTAAATATTTAATTAATTGTTAATTATTAATTATGACATGTGGAGAAGTTCAACAAAGCTTCAACACATAGGAGATAATTACAACATGTAGATTGTCTTCCACATTCTTGCTCAAGAATGTGGAAACAAAATCAATTTATGAAGTCCTATAAAATGATTCCCACACTTTGAAGGGTAGAGCTTTCCACACCCTTGAAGGGAGGGAGCTTCCCACAGTTTGAGAGAAGGAAGCTTCCCACAATTTGAGGGAAGGAAGCTTCCCAGAAATTGAGGAGAGGAAGCATCCCACACTTAGAATGGTTGAGCTTCCCACACTTTTCCTTCCCACAATTTGAGGAGAGGAAGCTTCCCACACTTTGAAGGGAGGAAGCTTCCCACAATTTGCTTAACTACAAAAATAAAAATAAAAAAAAATAAAAAAAAGCCTTTCCACTCTCTTGCTCAAAAGTGTGGAAGCAATGTCTATTTATGTGGTTCAAAACAAACTTCACCTACAAGGCTTCAACCAAAAATCTTCATCTACAAAGTTTCACTTACAAAGTTTCAACCACTCAAGATATGGGCCCAAAGGAAAAGCTTCAACCACATTTTCTTTTGTCACCAAAAAGAAAGAAGAAATTAGGCTTAAGAAAAAAATATATTTACTTGGGCTATATCAAAAAAAAAAAAAAAAAAAAAAAAAAACAAAAGTAGGAGAGAATTCTTGAAGTTTTTTTTTCTTCAATGACTCAAAAATATTAGGGCACCTCCTTCGGCTATCTTCTTTGCTTGGAAACTTGGAGGACTCACACTAAATGCTATTAAATTTCGGTACTTAGTGACTTGGATTTTTTAAGTTCCTAACCTAAAAGCTTTTCTCACTCTGGAACTTAGGGGAGCACTGTTAGTACCATACTTGACCAATCTCGAAACTACCAAACACTAGTCAACTTCATACCTCTAAGGACTCATTGAAGGGTTCATGTTGAGGCATCCTTGCCGAAACACAAGAGTTTCCCTCCACCCAAGAGATCAATCACAATATGACATGTGTCAACGTCAGAATAAAACTCCTAGAATCCCACATCGACCACGGATGAAAGCCGAAGACTCTCCTCAATTATAAAAGAAGACCATTCTCCTACAATTAAGGGGAATGTCATTATTGTACGTAAATTAGTCATTAGAATCCACTAATGATGATTATGTTTGAACCTATGTATTTGTGTAAACCCTTCAATATTAATGAGAACTCCTCCACTCCGTGGATGTAGCCAAACTTAGGGTGAATCACGTACATCTTGTGTTTGCTTCACTATCTCTATCTATTTACATATTATCCTCACTAGGTGATCGGCAACCGAGCGAAAGTCATAAACTTGACACTTTACGTTATTCCAAAGTCTCGCTAATTTTGTGCATCAACAAAACTCATGGTGACCCTGTTCTTTTTCATTTGGGGTCTAGGGGTGGATTTTATTACCAAATTATTGTACTAACCGAATTGACAACCGTACCATACCAATTTTGTGTCAATCGGTAATGCACGATATTGTATTGAACCAAAATCTTATGGTACAATTTTGGTATTCAATACCATTATCACGATATTTCCGTACTGTACCGAAAAATATAATAATATAGAATTTATAAATTATATAACATATAATTATATATATATATTTTTATAATATTATCGATAATATTTGTTTGGTTCGATTCCCCCCACCTGACCTAGCTAATGACAGAAAAAAAAAAAGAACAAAAAGAAAGAAAAGAAACCCTTCAGTAACTCATGTTCTCTCTTTGAACACTTTCCCATTCCACCGTCGACAACACACTCATCCATCTCTGTTAATTGATTTTGTAATTGGTTTTGTTTTAAGGTTAATTGGGTTTATAAACCTTATTGTAATATGGAAGGAGTATGTGCTATGTGAATGTTGTAAGTAAAAAATAATTGGGTTCACCATTGCCAAGCGCCACAAACATGTCTTCAAACAAGATGATGTTGCCAGTTACCATGCCATAATTATGTCTAACCTGCTATAAATATATATATGATTAACAAAGTGACAATTAATATTATCATATTATGTCAACCGAACTATTTGTCGTACCGAATTTTGATATATTGAATATTTGGTATGATAATGATAATAGATGTTGCTAAACTAAAAATTTGATACAGCAATTGATACGGAAGTGTTGATTCAGTAACCATACTAAGCCCGCTCTTATGTGGGTGTAGCGCAGAGAAGACCACGTCGTTCCGACTTGGTTTGGAAAAATTAAAAAATAAAATAATTAAAAACAAAAAAATACAAATATTGGTGAACGGCCAGGATGGCATCGTAAGACCATCGGCGGCAGCAACTCCATACGCTGTCGTTTTACGTGATAACAAAAGCAGATTGAGAGAAGCAGCAGCAGTAACTGCAGCCTGGCATTCGAGGCTCGCGCCATTCCTCTTTCTGCTCGCTCCTCTGTAATTTGTAAGCCGTACGTACGTGCTTCTTCTTCTTCTTTCTAATCCAACAGTTGAAAATAGTAGGCTCCTACTTCTTGTCGTTTAAATTCTTCATCTTCTTCCTCTTGTCATCCAATTTCTTTCTTTTTTTTTTTTGTTGCTAAATTGTGATATATGAATTTGGGAATTAGGGATTTAATTAATTTTCCTATACTGTAATATAGCTAACGTTTGGATGAGTAAAATTTAAGCTGAGATTTAAAGGGTTGTTTTAGCGAAATTTGGTGGAGCTGTTTATTGTTGCAATTCTCCAATTGCTGCCTACATAGGCGTTGTTTCTGATATTCTTACAAGGATTTGTGTGCCTCCATGGTGTTCGATAGAATGCCCGAAAGAAAATTGGCACGATTTCGTATTTGCTTAATTGCACATCTAAATTTCCTCTTCACTGCAATATTTGTCATCCAAACACACACTAAAGGATTGAATTAATGTCTTTTGAGCCGTAGCTTTATCAATTATGAAGTATACTTTTTTTTTTTTATTGATCTTTGTATAATTTTGTAGATGTGGCTCGGCTTTTAGTTGATTTTTGTATGATTTCAGATTTCATCCTTGCAATTTCGTGGCTTGTTAGCTTTTCCGTTTTGGAAAGACGGGTTAGTAACTTCTTGCGTTTTGTAATTGAGAGTGTAGTTGAAGATGTAGAAATAAGTATTTCACCTGTTTTAACAGGATCCATACAATCTGGGAAGTGGCATGAAAACGAAGAAGATTCTACGCAAGCTTTGAGACATACTTTCGGCTTAGGAAAATAGGCTTTAAAGTTTGACCCACCCCTTGTTTAGTAACAACATTCAGCATTTTTCTTAGTATTTGTAGCCTACCGTCCATGGCGGCCATATCATTCACAACCCACATTCAAAGACCTCCGGTACCTTTATTTTCTACACCCAAAATCCCTAAAACAAAACTCAGAGTCTCAACTCAAGCTTCTCCAACTTCACAAGTCGCCTTATCAGACCCCTTTGTTCTACAACTAGCTGAAGCTCTTGAAGATTCACTACCTTCTTCTTATGCTTCATCTCCTTTACCTTTACAAAATCTCAGAGACTCTTCCTCTGAGGCCCTCCTCTCAACCCCATGGCCGTCTCGCAAAGATGAGCCCTTTCGCTTCACTGACACCTCCTTCATCAAGAACTCCCAAATCCAACCAATCTCTCACCCTCCGACCTTTTCAAGCATTTTGGAAGATACACAAATTCCAAATCTGGTTATAGTTGATGGGTTTGTCGTAAGTTTCTCAAATTTGAGCGAATTGCCGGATGGGGTTTATGTGGGTAGCTTTCAGCAGCTGTCAGAACAGACCGTTATGGAAAGGGTGTCTGAGTTTGTGTCTAGTAGTTGTCGGGGTGACTTATTTTGGTCTATTAATGGAATCGGGGCTCCAGATGTAACTGTGATTTATGTACCTTCTGGATGCCGTGTAGAGACTCCAGTTTATCTGCGGTACTTTGCAAACGAGGGCAGTGATGAGGGGTCAAATAAACTGCCGTTAGCGAATCCAAGGGTGCTTGTGTTGGTGGAGAAGGGAGGGGAGATTGGTATAATTGAGGAGTTCTTGGGTGGGGATGGCGACAAGTGTTATTGGACAAATTCTGTTTTTGAGGTAGTGGTTGGAGAAGGAGGAAAAGTTACGCATTCCTATGTTCAGAATCAATCTCTGAATGCTGCCCATATAAAGTGGACTTGGGTCCATCAGGTTAGTTGTTCTCCTTCTCTCTTTGCTTCTTTGTGATACATGTTTCATGGGTTGCTTACTTTTGTATCTGATGCTTGGATATCTATAAGGATATTTTACAAATGAGAGTTAAATACTTTTTTTGTTAGCTTTGCAAAGACAACAATGGGCAAAAAACTAATAAATTATAAATTTAGATGTGCATCTAATTTGTCAGGGTTTATCTATTTAGCATGATCAACTTAACATTTGATAGCTTGCGGAGGGCATGAGAAACCTTTTTATAAGCTGATGTGTAAGGAGTTCACCAGTTCATTATATCAAAAGAAGTTTGTTACTAGTTATTTGAAAAAATACATTGCAGTCAGTTTCCTTTATGATTTGATTTTTATTTTGAGTTATAAAAAAGTTTCCTATCCTTAGCTCTCAATTTCCGAGTGACCTTAGGAAGAAGAAAGTCCTCGATAATAATGGAACAGGATCATAAGTGGAAATTTAAAGTTTCAATAGAAAAAAGCATTCCAAGATAGGAGACCCATAGTAAAAGTTGTATTTCTCAACAAAATAAGGGGTAAAAAAATAATTGAGTAAACTGTCATTTAACCCCCTGAACTATCACGTGAGTTTCAATTTCCCCCCTGAACTATTTTTTTAGCCAATTGACCCCCTAAACTATGTTAAAGTGGCCAATTAACCCCCTACCGTTAAGTATCTTTAACTCCATCCAATTTTCTGTTAGAAAGTGTCATGTGCTTGGCACATGACCACCTTTTTACATTTTATGTCTAAATCTTTACAAAGAAAACATATAAAACAAATATTAAAAAAAAAAAACATACAAACCCTAAACTTAATCATTCAAAATAATACAAAAGGTAAGGCTTTTTATATTAACACCCCATAAAATGTTGAATGCACTCCATATTAAAATTTAATATTAAATGACTTATTTATGTAATGACAATTTTGACCTTATTAGGTTTAAAAAAAATTATAAATACACCCCAAATCACTTTTAGCGTATTATTTATCTTCTCAACTATCAAAACCCTCTCATCCTCCATTGTTGAACAAAACCCTAACCAATGAAATTACAAACATGTTGATTGAGAAAAATTGTTTTTGACGAATGAAACACGAAATCGATGTTTTTTGAAGCTTCACATGAGGTAAAGACTTCACATTTTTCATTGTTTTAGTGATTTTGATGACATTGATAATTATTTAATCTTGCGTTTGCTGCATTATTTAAACTTATATATTCATATTCATATTCATCTTTTAGGGTTCATATTAAAAAATAATGCAGCAAACGCAAGATTAAATAATTATCGATGTCATCGAAATCACTAAAACAATGAAAAATGTGAAGTCTTACCTCATGTGAAGCTTCAGAAACATCGATTTCATGTTTCATTCGTCAAAAACAATTTTTCTCAATCAACATGTTTGTAGTTTCATTGGTTAGGATTTTGTTCAACAATGGAAGATGAGAGAGTTTTGATAGTTGAGAAGATAAATAATACGCTAAAAGTGATTTGGATTGTATTTATAATTTTTTTTTAAAACCTAATAAGGTCAAAATTATCATTGCATAATGGAGTAAATAAGTCATTTAATATTAAATTTTAATATGGGGTGCATTCAACATTTTGTGGGGTGTTAATATAAAAAGCCCTTACCTTTTCTATTATTTTAAATGATTAAGTTTAGGGTTTGTAAGTGTTTTTTTTTTAATATTTGTTTTATATGACTTTGATGGTTTTAAATGATTGTAATCTGGCTTTTCTTTAAAGTTTAAGGGTACATATTTAGCTAAATCGAAAACGTTTTCATTCTCCCAAGCCAATATTTGTTTTAAATGATTAAGTTTAGGGTTTGTAAGTGTTTTTTTTAATATTGCTTTCCGTTAACTTAAAGTTGAGATAAATTTGTCTGCTAAGCTCTACATGATGTAATGCGCTTTATTCTCAGTAAGGTTTATGAATAACATTTAGAATCTTACTTTGTAAATGAACTTTCAACTTTGGTCTGTTAGGATGCCAAGTGGCATCACTTAGTTAGCCAGGTGTCAATTGTTGAGTTGGATTTCTTTAGCCTGCAACCAGCTATATAAGCTGAGATATGGCAGATGCGAATGGAGAATGAATATTTGATTGTATTAGTGTTTTGTTAGAATATCTTGCATTTGAGTAAAGGTTGAAGTGGGGTTCTATCATTTGGTATTGAGCCAGTCTTGATCTCTCAATCCCTTCTCTTTTGCCATTTGAATCGTGCGTCGATGAAGGAAGCCATGGAATCTCAGAACCATCTTGCTGCGATTAACGACACTCTCAATGTGCTAATCCAGCGATTTGACGCCATGGAAGCTCGTCAAGATTCTTCTGATGCTCGATTCGAGAAACTATATTGTGATTTTGTGGACAAATGCTATATCGGCTCGCATTTGCCATTCACCAAAATGGCATCTTCTATCTCTGTTGTCAAATCGAATCAAGTCGTTCTCAAGCTTCAATCCTTCCATGAGGAAAAGATTCAGGCTCGAGAGAAAGCTGATGAGTTCTTCTCCCAGTTTTGTCAGAGATACAAGCCCAAGACTTGCCCTTGTTTGCGACCCATATTGAAGAAATTCAAGAAGGTTCGTGACTACGGCAAACACCACAACGATGATTCTGTGATGTGTCGTTCCAATCCCTAATTTCAAGAAAGTTTTAGGGTTTTTCAAAAAACTTTGGCTTGGGAGAATGAAAACGTTTTCGATTTAGCTAAATATTCGATGGAAATTCCTCCATTTCTTGATTCTGATTACAAGACAGGCACTGCAAAGGTTTTGGTTTCTGGGTTCCCTATTGCAGAAATTGTTGGAGAAGAAAGATGAATTACATTCTTCTCGGCCTATTCTTGAAAATAAGGTTGGGTTCCAGTTGATTGTTTTTGTTGGGACGATCAGCAAGCTTCAATCTCTCAAGAATCTCAATCATGGTAACAAGTCTCATCCCTGTTCTGTTTCTGAAAAATTTGAAGCTCATGATATGATTCAAGGAATTTTAAAATATGAAACTTTGGAATTTGGGTGCAAGAAAATCTGGGTTACTGTAATTGGAGAAGAAATCTACCCATTCAGGTCGGAATCAGTGACTGTTCTTGAATTGGATTGTAAGAATGGCAAATCCCAATTTTTTATTTTGAAAATTCATGTTTCTAATGTTGAGTTCAAGAAAGCTAAATTGCCTAGTTCGTGTGCACTCTACCTGTTTGACAAAATGTCGAACTCATGTTACATTCTTGATATTAAGCTTGGGTACCATATGAGCATTCGTGATAGAGGTGGTACCAATTTTCTCTCCAGTTTTGAGTCAATAGATTTACTGGCAAGCTGCAAGGACTCAGGTTTTTGTGTTGTTTTCAATTGTTCCATGGGCTACTACTGCAAGGGAATTCGTGACAAGGGAGGAACAACTATTCAAAGGCTCTTAAATTTGAAATCTACTGGAAAATTTGAAACCATTTTGGTACAAGATGATGCTTCTCCTAGTGTTGTTCTTATTCTTCAACTCTGCTACCATAAAGGAATTTGTGACAAAGGTGGAAGCTTACCAAAAGACAAGATTTGGAAGGACCATTCAAGAATACTCGGGTACAAGATTGGTACATTCTTTATTTCTTCTTGTACAAATGAATCTGAAAATGCTACTGCATATAACAAGGATGGAACTGGTGAATTCAACTCAATGGATTTTCTGGCAATCTGTGCGTTGGATTTTGTTCTTAATGCGAAAAAGAGGAATTTTTTGGAGGAAGCTGACCCCTTTATTGGACCTGCTGCGGAAACTTGTCTTGCGTTCAATGTGTTTGAGGAAATTCCAAACTCAAGATGTTGTGTTTTTGTTAATTGTGACATGTGCTATTGCAAGGGTATTCGGGATAAGGGCGGTGGCTCAAAATTCAGGTATATGGTTACTCTGAATATTCATTTTTCTTGTATGAATGCATCTGGAGATTCTATTGAATGCGCCAAATGGTTGGAAGAAAAGCCACCCAAATCGGTCGTGTATGTTTCCTTCGGAACCATGGTGTCTTTGAGCGCGAAACAGATGGAGGAGTTGGCACTGGGATTGAAAGAAAGTGGACTGCACTTCCTGTGGGTGATAAGAGAATCAGAACGCAGTAAGCTGAGCGATGGAATTGTCGACTCGGCAAAGCAACAGGGTTTGTTTGTGACTGATGGAAACCGAATCATCAGCAGAGCAAGTGGTGACCATTTCCGAGCTCTGATTGGGGTCAAGGAAAATAAGCTACATAAGGAAGCCTATTTGGAAACTAATGGAAATGCATGTGGGTTTCCTCCACCACCAAAACTTGGTTATTTGGATCTGCCCAAGAAGACGGCAAGATAGGAAAGGGGAGGAATGGAAAATTGAGCATTGCCAGTAAAAATTACTCTAGAGGAATTCGTAATGAAAATTATTCTACAGAACTTGATTTGTGCAGCAATTCTACGATTACTCTTTGGTCATTACCATTGCTCAAATTTTTGGGAGGGTGTAATGTGGAGTTAATGTTTTGGGCAGTAAGCTCTTGGTGGAAGCACAGACTTACGGTTTCATTAGTTCAGTACATATGTTGTTGCTTGTTTACAAGGGAAGAACATATCAGTCTTCGTACTAGTGGAATCATATTGCTGCATCAAATTAATAGGAATGCTGCTGCTATATGCTATTGGCTTATGTCGCTCATTGTCTCTAGATCAACCTATAGTAGTTGGATCCATTGCCAAATCATAATCAACCTATAGTAGTTGGATCCATTGCCAAATCATAATCAAAAGAATGCTACTGGACTTTTCAAAGCTAAACCTTCAGGACAAGGTTGATTTCTAAGGGAGGGGTAATGTTAGGATGCCAAGTGGCATCACTTAGTTAGCCAGGTGTCAATTGTTGAGTTGGATTTCTTTAGCCTGCAACCATCTATATAAGCTGAGAAATGGCAGATGCAAATGGAGAATGAATATTTGATTGTATTAGTGTTCTTGTTAGTATATCTTGCATTTGAGTAAAGGTTTAAGTGGGGTTCTATCATGGTCACTGCCCATGGCCCCATACCTGATAAAAAACTTCTATCCCTCTATCTATCATGCAGTTCCTGTTGCATCAAATTTATAAAGTTGATTGCTTTTCAGGAATCAGCTAGTACATACGAGCTTGTGGAGGTTAGTACTGGTGGAAAATTGAGCAGGCATAATCTCCATGTTCAACAACTGGGACCAGACACAGTCACCGAGTTATCAACACTGCAATTGTCTGTCGGTGATCAAACACATGATCTGCATAGTAGTGTAGTCCTGGACCATCCACGGGGTTATTCCAGACAACTTCACAAATGCATCGTGTCTCATTCTCTAGGCCAAGCTGTATTTGATGGGAACATAAGGGTTAACAGGTAAATATCTTTCATCTCTTTGCCCAGATTACCGGGAACTTGTTAACTTTGCCTCAAAAGCACTTTGTGCCCATTTTCTTGAAACCTAGACTTTATGTTTTAGTTCTTAACCAAGAAAATGAACTTTTGAGGCTTCTTACTTGTATCGTTGACTAGTTTCTTCATGTTAGCTGCTCACTCATAGTTTCACAAAATCCGTACTTCTAATTTGCAGATATGCTCAGCAAACAGACGGTGGGCAGCTGACAAGAAGTCTTCTTCTTGCACCTCGTGCAACTGTAAATGTCAAACCGAATCTTCAAATTATTGCTGATGATGTCAAGTGTTCCCATGGATGTGCAATCAGCGATCTAGAAGAAAGCCAGCTCTTCTATTTCCAGGCACGTGGCATTGATGTAGAGGCAGCGAGAAAGGCTCTCCTCTTTTCCTTTGGTGCAGAGGTGATTGAAAGATTACCTTATAATTGGATGAAAAAGAACGTGGAAAATCAAATTAGAGAATTGTTGGATCCTACTACTAATACAGGATCCGCATAATTGGATGATCTAGCACTGATTGTCGGTTACGGGCATTCTAATTCTCATCGAAAATCAAATAAATTTTGGTCTTGTTTGAAACTATCGAACGCTTGTGCTCCATTTGATTAATTTTGTCAATGTAAAATGGTTCCTGTTGTATCAGAGTTGTCTATTCATCAGCAATTGAAACCGATGCTTTACGTCATTTGAGATACCATGCTTTATTAGCACTTAGGCAAATAGATTTTTCTGCAACAATGCGAATTAAGCGTAAATTTGAATTATTTTCTGAGTTTTGCCTGTTTCAATTTGGTAACACTTCCCTGTACTAATTTTTCTTATCTGTACCGTAGTGAAATACACTCAGTTTCACAGAGACTGACTAGATCTCCAACTATTTTAAGAGCATCAAATCATTGACAGCAATACCTCACTGAAACAGTAGACCATCTCCGGCTATCCTCCGAGGTACGAACATATTTTCCACCCGCAGCGACATGTGGAACAACCGATTGACTGACCAAAAACTGAAAGTATAAACCGTAAAAACACATGATTAGTTTGGAGATGATGAACTAGAAAGTAGCTAAATTGACATGGGCAGCTTTGGTGGTTTTTGGTGCGGCTTTGGACGATATAGAACATCGGCGCCGAAGATACGTCACCAATATTCCAGTGGTGTTAGAGAGGGGGATTTGGGGTAAACAGTTTATGATTTTGTTGATCTTTTACTGAGTCAATTTGTAAGGAATTACCTAGAATCCAATGGTTAAGGATTTAATCTCACATAAGTGAGATTAAATCATATGGCTATTGTTTAAGTTTTTTTAATTAATGTAAAAGTGTGAAAAAAAACATATATATACATAAACGGTTGTAATGACAAGCTTTACAACTTTCGTGAAATGCTCAACTTCAAAGTTCTCCACTAGAATCTCATAAACAACAACAACAACAACAACAAAGCCTTTTCCCACTAAGTGGGGTCGGCTATGTGAATCCTAGAACGCCATTGCGCTCGGTTTTGTGTCAGGTCCTCCGTTAGATCCAAATACTCTAAGTCTTTTCTTAGGGTCTCTTTCAAAGTTTTCCTAGGTCTTCCTCTACCCCTTCGGCCCTGAACCTCTGTCTCGTAGTCACATCTTCAAACTGGAGCGTCAGTAGGCATTCTTTGCACATGTCCAACCCACTCATTCCTAATCTTATCCTTTCTTGTGAGCCCACACCTCCAACGAAGGATCATCATCTCCGCTACACCCATTTTGTGTACGTGTTGATGCTTCACTGCCCAACATTCTGTGCCATACAGCATCGCCGACCTTATTGCCGTCCTATAAAATTTTCCCTTGAGCTTCAATGGCATACGACGGTCACACAACACGCCGGATGCACTCTTCCACTTCATCCATCCCGCTTGTATTCCATATATTCTGTCTTTGATCGGCTTAGACGAAGACCTTTAGATTCTAGCACTTCTCTCCAAAGGTTAAGCTTCGCATTTACCCCTTCCCGAGTTTCATCTATCAACCCTATATCATCTGCGAAAAGATACACCAAGGAATAACATCTTGAATATGTCCTGTTAACTCATCCATTACCAATGCAAAAAGGTAAGGACTTAAGGATTGTTGATGCACAAAATCAATGAGGACTTTGGTACAATAGAAAGTATTAAGTTTGTGACCTTCGCGAGATTGCTCCAGTCATTAGTGTGGATAAGTATGTAAAAGGATAGAGATAGGAGAGCAAACACAAGATGTACGTGGTTCACCCAGATTGGCTACGTCCATGGAGTAGAGGAGTTCTCATTAATTGTGAAGGGTTTACACAAGTACATAGGTTCAAGCTCTCATTTAGTGGGTACAAGTGAATGATTTAGTACAAATGGCATTAGGAAATATTTTGGGAGAATGATCTCTTTTTATAGAAGAGAGTTTCTAGCCTTGTTCTGACATTGACACGTGTCGTGTTATGATTAGCTTCTGATGTTGACACGTGTCGCGCTATGATTGGCTTCTGATGTCGACACGTGTCGCTCTGTGATTGGCCTCCTGGTTGGAGGGAAACTCTTCTGGGTCCTTGACGGTATAACGTTGACCGGTGCTCAGTAGTTTCGGGATTGGTCAAGTATGGTACAAACAATGGTCCCCTAAGTTCCCGAGTAAGGGAAGCCCCTCGGTTGGAGACTTGCAAGATCCAAGCCGCTGAGTAATCACGAAACTTCTAAGTACCCAAGTGTGGTATCGTCTTCACTTGCCTTATCTATCTCATAGGTAGATGTGGTATCTTTTCTGGAAGTACTCTTTCTCCGTCCAGGGGTGGTATCTTTAACTGGTGGAGATGCACAAGGTAATGTATCAATTTCACTTGAAGCTTACTTATAGTTTCAGGCTTGGTCAAGCGCGATACAAACCATGTAGTAGGAGTCCCCCAAGTTGCCGAGCTAGGGGATCTGCTGAAAGAGGTGACAAACAAGGTAAGCAATCAGAGCTCCAAGCAATCAGTCCCAGATCAGAAGTTTGATTTCGAGTTCCGGCTGATTGTTCTCATTCTCCTTATCTTGCAGGTAGCATGAAGGATAAAGAGAAGAAAAAGGAGAAGAGATGATATGAGATACTTTTTCTTTTGAAGAAGTAACTTTCCACAGGCTTATTCTTGAACTGGGCTAGAGGGTTTTCTGGTTTCCTCCAGAGTATAAGGCCGACTGAAGAATTTGAGGGTCAAAACAAGTCCATCAAATCTAGAGTACGTTCGACCCTGCTCATATGGGATACTTTTGCTGTTGACAAAGTAGTGGAAGTATCGGCACGTGTTATGTTACGCTTGTCTCCACATGCTTCCTTGTATCCTTCTCACTTGCCCTATCTGTTCCTCAGGCAGATGTGGTATCTTCTCTGGAAGCATAAGATGTTGAAGATGAGTACTCGAGAGCAATGCCAGGTAAGTAATCAGGTAAGGGGTTCCAGGCAGTCAGTTCCTGACTGGAAGCTTGATTCCAAGTGCTGACTGATTGCTCTCTTTCTCCTTGTCTTGCAGGTAAGAACAAGGCCAAAGGAAAAGATAGGGAAAAAGCATGATATGGGATACTCTTGCTTTTAACCCTGATGATATGAGATATTCTTGCTCTGGTGTAGCTTGTTTGCAGAGGTATTATCGGGGGGAAAGAAAGCTGAGTATTTCGAGAGGCTTCGTTGGGAGTGCCCTCTCAGATATGAGGAAGGGTTGAGCATTTTTGCAGGTCTGCCTGTCCGTTGAGGATGGAGGTCGACATATATAGGAGTCTCCCTAACAACAAGTAGTAATGCTATTCCTTTACCCTTCTTGGTCATAGCACTGTAGTGGGAGCTACCAGCTTCACGTGTTTTAACTCTGTTAGAGCACTTTGAAAAAATGGTCTGTGGTATCTGGAAAGCTTATGTTGCGTGTGAAGATTACAGACAAGCTTTATCCAAGGAGATCTGGCTCTCGAAGTTGAGAAAGCGATGCCTCTTCGGTTTTCGAACAAGCGATCCTGTCGGGGATCTGGCTCTCGAGATTCGGAGAACGGTGCCTCTTCGATTTTTGAGAAAGCAATCTTGCTGGGAGTCTGGCTCTTGAAATTCGGAGAGCAGTGTCTCTTCAATTTTTGAGAAAGTAATCCTGTTGGGAGTTTGGCTTTTGAGATTCGGAGGGCGGTGCCTCTTCGATTTTGGAGCAAGCAATCTTGTTGGGGGTTTTTTCTTGAATGTGAGTAAAGGTTGGGCATGTTTGCTAGTCTACCTTGCCACGGAACACAGAGGTTGATACACAGGGACTTTCCAATTATCCAGCAGTGGTGCTATTCTTTTACCCTTGTGGGTAATAATATGGTAGCTAGACCTTTAAAATTTATGTGTCTAACTTTGTTAGTGCTGTTTCTTTGCTATTCTTTTACTCTTCTTGGTCATAGTGATGTAGTGGGAGCTGCCAGCTTCACGTGTCTAAACTTTGTCAGAGATCTTTGGCAAAGTTATCTGTGGTACCTATGAGCTGATGTTACGTGTGGAAAGTGGATGATTGAACAGTAAGATTCACGTGCTTTCTACTTCACCAGAAATCTTCGACAGATTGCCCGTAATTTTCGCAAAGCTGAGTGTGCATGTGACAGGTGCTGACAAGGCTGAGAAAGCAGGTGCCTATTCGATTTCTGAGATAAACCATCGTGGTCTCTGAGCAGCCCAACTTTTGAGAAAGTAAGCCCCTCTTTGATTTTTGAGATCGACCCTCGTGGTCTTTGAGCAGCCCAGCTTTTAAGAAAGCAAACGCCTCTTCGATTTTTGAGATCGGCCCTCATGGTCTCTGAGCAGCCCAGCTTTCGAGAAAGTAAACGCCTCTTCGATTTTTGAGCAGGCGCCTCTTCGATTTCTGAAGCTCCGTCGAGTGCAGATTTTTATAGAGGTTGGCATTAAGTTCCAAAGCACACTTGAATCTCTACCAGTAGAAGCTCCATTCTTGCACTTCTAAGATCTTGATTTGTCCTACCTCTTCTCTCTTCAACACATTTGAAAATGTCTGGCCCCTCCGACCGTCGTTTTGACTTGAACCTTCATGAAGAGGCAGTTGCGCCTTCTCTAGACAACATATGGCGCCCCTCCTTCTTATCCCCTACTGGTCCACTTACCGTTGGGGATTCCGTGATGAAGAATGATATGACCGCTGCGGTGGTGGCCAGGAACCTTCTCACTCCCAAAGATAACAGACTTCTTTCCAAATGGTCTGATGAGTTGGATGTTAAGGATTCTCTGGCTCTCAGTGTTCAGTGTGCACATTCTGTGTCTAATATGGCCTAACGCCTATTTGCTCGAACCCGCCAAGTTGAATCATTGGCGGCTGAAGTGATGAGTTTCAAGCAGGAGATTAGAGGGCTCAAGCATGAGAATAAACAGTTGCACAGGCTCGCACATGACTATGCTATAAACATGAAGAGGAAGCTTGACCAGATGAAGGAATCTGATGGTCAGATTTTACTTGATCATCAGAGGTTTGTGGGTTTGTTCCAAAGGCATTTATTGCCTTCGTCTTCTGAGGCTGTACCGCGTAATGAGGCTCCAAATGATCAGCCTCTGATGCCTCTTCCTTCTAAGGTTCTGTCCAGTACTGAGGCTCCGAATGATCACCCTCCGGTGCCTTCTCTTTCTGGGGCTCAACCCACTGCTGAGACTTCTCCTAAGCAACCTTTGTGAAGGC